GCTTTGCCAGTCCTAGTACCTTAAGGCGACTTTAAGGCGGTTGTCGTTTCCCGAGACGACCTGCCATTGATCAGGAAATGTCAGAGTGACCTTTAAATCAAGAATTGACTGAGAGGCCATGCTGTCATCGAATACTTTTCTGATTAAATTATTGTAGGCTCTGTATCGAGAATCGCCGTTTCTTTTATTAGACTTGTAACATTTTCCTGTCCATATCTCCTTTACTAAAAAAGCCAATGTCCATTGTGTTAGATCGTGACAAACATTTTCTTTTGCCTTGCTGGCCTCATCGATAATGTCYTGTACTTTAGTACTTGCACCCACTTTGTAATCGTAATTTACAATCAGCCTAATTATAAAATCAAATTTTACTGATGAATCAAAAACGTACACAACTTTGGAAGGATTTAAGCACTGAAACTGTATCGATCAGCATTGAAAGAATTTCCAAAATTTCCATCTTAAAGTGGAACTAACTTCATCATCCATATCAAAACGCTCTGTTATTCAGTCTCACACATTGCACTGTTAGTCCTGTTGCAAAGAAATGACCAAAATCCACGTCAAACACAGAAAAAAAATAAAGGTCTCGAAGATATTCCAGAAAATACATACCACCATCGTGCCTATCGTTGATGCAATCTAAATTGCGGAAACGCTACATTGTGAAGGTCTTTTTGGGCACTTTAAACTCTWACAGACTCAAAGAAATTGCAAAGAAATGTTCAAAAATCGCCAGCTTTTCCTTGTTCGCCTATTTTTCTTTGGCTTTTATCGTCGGTTGTTTATTAGAGCGCGAGCTTTCCACTGTACCTCTTTCTTATTGGCTTACTTTGACAGCTATTGTTCGTGATTTCCCGTTGGGGACGGGTGTGAGTAGAAGTAAACTTCTTGCAAAAGCTTACGTGTCCTCCCTCGGCGAGTGCAAGTTTAGTACCATTGCATTGTTCTTGTCCAAGTAATGGATGTGCGCCTTATATCGACCGATGACCGATGAGGATTATACACGACTTTCAATACCTCCGACGAAGCGCGGGGCCTGAGGACGAGTAAACACGAAAACGAGGACGCGAAGTCCTCAGAATTAAAGATGGCGTCTAGCGAACAAGCGAACAATGAACAACGTGGTGTTTTTCTTAATGAAAATGACATTCCGGGTGCATCTCTTTTGGGCAGAAAGCCTGAAGAGCTTAAAAATAATGAGTTGAGATTCTGGTTGCAGTGTCGTGGTGATCCGGCCAAAGGATTGAAAACTAAAGCCCAGTTAGCGAAAAGGTGATACTTTTAGATCGCTCGTATTGAATATGAAATCCAAAGCTTACCTATATACGRCTTTTATTTTAGAGTTCACGAATATATCAACAGTGGAAAAGACAAAGAAATTGTAGATCCTGATCCAAACAAGATATATAGTCGCAGAAAATCAAGGATTGAACAAAACACAGCCCTAGCAACCAACCAAACAAAAACTATCACCTTCCCTCTCCACTGGTCTACATCACTGGAAAAAATGCCTCTTTTCACCATCGCAGAGATGAACAACCACATCGTTAAGTCCGGGAAGAGGTTTGGAAACAAAGATCACCACTCCGTGCCAACAAATTTGATAAAAGCAAAAAGGTTCCTGGACGATGAATATCTAGAAGAAATCGAGTCAAATCATGACGCTGAGATCTTTTACTTTAGATCAAAGTGCTGCCATAGTTTCCGAAAGAATGATCCCCCTCATGAGCTGAAAATTG